GTATGCGGCACGGTGTAACGGGGTGTAATCATCACTATCACGAACCTACAAATGCATTTCCATTAATTTATTGCTTATTTTTCATCCTATCACAGTGACTAGTCGAAAGGAACAAATTCCGTTGTTGGAAATTGTTTTGAAAAACAACGTACAACTGAAATTTCACGAAATGAACAAGGAGATCGTAAACAAAGAAATTTCGCGATAGAAAAAACAGGAAAACATGCACTCGAAGCAATACGACAACTTGACATGGACTGTTCAATAACTGCTCCAAACACATTATCGTGCCGTTCGTTTTCATCACGCCAAAGACTTACTAACTTCGAGGAGGGATCGATCACGTTGGTAAAGTTCCACCAGCAGTTTAACATCGCCCGTTTCAGCAGCTGTCAGCATTTGCTCAGCTGGGTCATCGAGATTCTTCTCTGCAATCCCTTCATCGTCCTCCTCCCATCCCGAAACGAACATCCCTCGTTTTTTCTCATCGCGAATTCGCTCCAACACTTCCGCCTAAACAGTGTAACAGTCATACGAATACTTTAAATGTACTGATCACAAGTGCTTAGAAACAGTGGAAAGAAACATTTCGAAATCAAACAGCACACTCACTCACTTCTCTTTTCGGCGTTAAGCGGAGATGCATCAACAGAACGAACAACTTACATCCGGTAATGCAGGCAGTGAGTCAATCTCACACTCTTCGCTTTGCTCATCATACGGCATCGATCCGTCACGTTCGTGTTCCATTTCCATATTTTCATCCTCTGATTCTTGCATCATGCCACCGTCGCTAAATTTTTGCCTCGTTTACTCGCATTATTGAACACATTACTTGAAACAATCCGCATATCGCTCAATATTACATCAATGGCAACTCAATTCCATCACGATAAAAAACACCGCAAAAGTTGTAAATAATTAAATTGCAAAATCGTATTTTCCTAGAAACAAAAGATAACATTCCACTAATTTTCCTTGGCGCGTTTTTGCATTCTCGAGTAGAACTTGTTGCAAAATGATCAGACAGTCAGAGCAAGCGACATATTTGAAAAGAGTAGAACGGGTGAAATGAAACACGCGAGGGAGCGACTTACCACTCCAAGTAATGAGCAGAGATGGGCAATAGTGCGCTATTCCACTACTTCGATGCCAGCAAAATATCTATTCCGCTATTTCGCTAGTATTTATAAGTAGTGAGTACTTACGAATACTTTTAAAGTATTCATAAGTACTCACTAATTCGCTGTAGCGAAGAAGCGGAATATCGCGCCATTGCCCATTAAAGCAAACTTTACTGGAGTCTTACCCATTCGTCGTTACCTCGGCATGTTTTGAGGTAATATTTTACTTCATATTGATATTCACTGTTGATCACATAAAAGAAGTGCACGCAGGTTAATTCTCGGCTCTTCAGCGTTCCCGTAAGAAAATGCTAGAGGAAGTTTGCAGCAAAAGCCTGTAAGCAATAAGGTGGCAAGAACGGTTTGTTGCAATCGACTACGATGACAACAACAAGCAAATATATTTCGGAAGATATGATAAGAGTCTGTGTTGCAAGCTGTTGAGTTGTGAATGGAACAGAGTCAGCCATCGGTGATGGTGAAGGATTCATAATGAGAACGAATGCAAAGATCCGTATTTCGACAAGTTTATGTTCATTTTTCGCTGCATAAATTTTCAATGCACCATTCCAGCATTTTTAATTGTTGCCAGAAATTCATCGTCGATAAACAAAACGCTCGTCAAATCGACACCGTTTACTATGTTATTCTTAATCATTACCAACCACTGAATGCATTGGATGGATTAGTAAGTAAACACAGAAAAGCACTATTCGCATCCAATATTTCCTCAAACCATTTTTATGATCGGATCATTTTTCTGCTGCAAATTCTCGAAAATTTTTAGACTTGAGTGGTTATGCAAAGAGAGTGAACAATTCCAATTTTAGCTGAAGATAATTGCAGATAAAATTGGAATTTTGTAAAGCATCCTAAATTCTATTCTTCATCTCATTGACACGGTTCTGCAACACTATGTACAAAATGGCTCATAATTCGAGCAAGAACATTGTCCTTTTTCAGAAGTTATTTTACGAATATGTCAAAATTTCACTGTCTGTTCATTAGGAACCAAAATCAACTCTGAGGTCAACTTCCTGTCGGCAAATGAAGCGAACTGGCGATTTGAGCATTCTTCGATGTTGTTCTCTTTCATGCAAATATCACCATTGTTCTGATATTCTTATTATGTAAAGAGGAATGTAGTATTGATCCATTTAACAAATTTTAATTTGGTGGTTTATGATTGCTGCCAGAATGGCTGTGTATATGTTTTATACAGCTTATAAAGTTAAGGATCTGGATAACGACTGCAGCACGACCGTTGATGGTGCCACAAGCAAGTAGTAGATTGTCATAGATTCTGGATATTATACCATGATAGTGAATGCAGCTGATTACTGTCAAGCTAGTTCGTTCCGATTTCATTATGGACATTTCAATGGAGTCGTGACCGGTCAATCTGCCTAAGGACATTTAGGCTAACGACAGTTTGCCTAAAGACAC